CCATATTTTATTGTTTCTATGCAGGCTTATAACAAAGTTAGTCCATATTTTATCCCACGAATACTGGTAAACATGGCAGCTGGGCATATTAGTATCAGGCATAAGTTGAAGGTAAACCTTAATGTATAGACCATTTTCACAAGTCTCTATGGGAGAGGCCTTTCAGCAATCTCCTCGTGCAGAGTTCTATTTCTACGAATATATTTCTGCCACCACACGATCTTGTGCTCGTCGTTGATTGGTCGATGCACCACAGTGGTACTACTTTCAAAGACACCCACCAAAGCATTGCCATTCAGGTGTTTGGTTTTCAACCAGATGAAAGCGTATATGTTTTTTGTAAATTCTGTTTTCAAAGTGAAAAGCTCATTTTTTACTTTCCATAGCACAAACGATGTTGCAGTAGGACGTCGTCATTACTACAATTTGCTTTTCGTTTGTTTATATTTTTTCACCTGGCAATCGACAGGATGGCCAGTTTGATGAATTGAGTAATACCTTAGTAACAGTTATTCTGCAATGAAATTATTTTTTTTTTGTAAATTATAACTATTTACAGTACGTTTACGACAAAATTATTATCTACTATCGATGAAATATTTTAAAGCTTTTATCAATACAAGATCCCTCTAATAACAAAAATATGCAAATAATTGGCGTAATAAAAGTCTTGTGGTGTTACACCACAAAATGGTGGTGTGTGGTGGCAGAGATATTTTTGGTGTACTGGTCGCAAGGAACTCTGGGAAGGAGAATGGCATTTCAGGTGAACTCAGAAAGAGGCTCCTGTAGTTGGGCTCTTTGGATATGAGTGATGAATAAAAATAAAACATTGTGCATTATATAACAACACCGTCTCTTTGTAACTGTGTTACTAAACACCACAAAATATGTGATCATGTGTGATATGAAGGATCATGTGCAAAGTATGCAGGAGATGAGCTAAATTATATTAACGTGGCACATGACAATTTCTGACCAATCAGATGAAGTTGTTCACAACATCACACTATTGATCAAATCAGCAATGCTTTCTTGTTTCATCACTCACAGGGTCCAAACCATGCCGTTTCAACCGCTTGCACTACAGGTTGCCATGCAATTGGAGATGCTATGAGATTTATAAGAAATGGAGATGCTGATATCATGGTAGCTGGGGGGACTGAGGCCACAGTGAACCCCCTAGCTTTAGCAGGATTCTGCAGGTTAGGCCTCTATTTTGGTTTAGTACATTAAAACATAAAAATAGGCTGCCTAGGGGGGGACAACATGTTGCTCTTTAGCATTAGCAGAGTTCTTTTACATTTTGCAACCTGTAATGAAAAATTATTTGGTACAAATTAACAAAGAAATACTATAAATACATACATTATACAGTTGCACAAAAATTTTGATCTGAAACCTCTACTTCATTCAAAGTAAATGTTTCAATCAGCCGTTATTTGAAACTTATAGTTACATTATTGTTTATAATGCAATGCAATTTCACTATGTTTCGTGTTATGTATTTCAGAGTTAGAGCTTTAAGTACCAAGTTTAATGATCATCCAGAGAAAGCTTCTAGACCTTTCCATCCTGAGAGGGATGGTTTTGTGTTGGCTGAAGGAGCAGCTATAGTAATACTAGAAGTAAGTTATCCTGATTTCTTTGCTTGCATGCATGTGTGCACCCTGCTGCATTTATAGCACCCTCACATGGTGTTCATAGTGATCATGTATTTATAATGCTTTCATTTAGTGTTTATAGCGCCCTCGTGTGGTGTGCATAGTGCCCACAATTTTCTGGTTCTCGGCGTCCTTGCCCTGGATTCGTGTGACTCAGTGAGATTGTTTTAAAATCATTCTAATTTTCGTTTTCCATAAACAAGTCTGTTTAACTGCAATAACGCCATGCCAATTCAGTCTGCCTGCTGAGATTCAATATTTGAGGTGGTTCCGGCATTTCTCAATATTAGTGTGCAAAGTGAGAACAGAAGGAAAGTTTTATTTGCATAACGCATGTAAGCGCTTACGTCAGGTAACCAAGGAAAATAGAACAAATAATGAGAATGTGATGGACCAATCAGAATGCTGGGACCATTATTAGCTTGGTGTGCCATGACACTTGAGGCGGAAAACCAGTAAGTGCCAACATGTGGTGTGCATAGCACCCTCTGTTGTTGGTGGTTATCATCATACTGTTTGAGTTGTTTACATTTCCAGAACTGTTATTTCATTGCTAGGAATACAATCATGCCATTAATAGAGGTGCTACAGTGCTTGCAGAGATCCTTGGTTATGGTCTCTCAGGTGAGTGTTGTAGTCTTATCTTTCTTCTTGCTACAAGGTTACATATAAATAATCACATCTACGTGTGCAGTACCAATCATATCTGTGAGTAGTTACCAGTCGGTAATAATCAGTAATATAGCAGTTGTTGTACCAGACACATGATCGGTAGATCCTAAGTTCAAATCTTACCGGCATACTGACTCAATGTAGAGGCCAGTGTCACAGTCTGAAAATCTTTCATCAGTGGGTGTGACTAACTGGGGTAAACTTGATTAAGGGTTCACCAGGTGCTTGTGTGAATCAACCAGGCCTGGTTGTCACCAGGATAGTGCATTGTCATAATGCTATTGTGAAGACGATGGTCACACAGAGTTTCTGTGGCAAACTAAGTACTATTACCACTTGCATTTCATTCATACCAAAATACTGTACACTGATCAATTTTAGCTGCAATTTAAGGATTTCATGACATTCATGAAGAAATTTTCTGAAAGTCACTAACTCTCTGTGTCTCTAACAGAAATGAAATTTTCTATTTATCAATATATGTATGGCTAGAAGGTTCTCTCCCCAGTGCACTTTGGCAATTGACCACATTCCATGATATCCAGCCTCTCTACCATTTGTCTCCATGTTCTTTTAGGGCACCCTACTTTTCTTCTACTAGGCATGCAATGACAATTATCCTCCATTCTTAGCATGTAGCCAATTCATTTCCATCTCCTGCATTTGACTTAATTACCAATTCGTTTCATGTTTTCTTAAGCACGTCACTATTGGATACAACATATGCCATTTGATTTTAAGTGTCTACCTCATTTTATTAGTCCCTGTTCAGACGAAGTCCGAAAACGGGGACTTATAATTCGGTCTCCGTCCGTCCGTGCATCCGTGTGTTCGTCCGGAGTCATATCTCAGAATCCCTTGGACCGATTCCGTTCATTCTTTGCATGTGCCTAGTACTTTATGTGGGACATATGCACATGCAGTGGTTTAGCAATTCGATTCAAAATGGCCGACTGGCAGCCATCTTGTTTTTTGAAAATGTTGTATTTTGGACATGCTTTGTCAGTTGTCATTCAAACTTGGTACATAGATTATACATGTTAGAATACATGTCCATGACGATTTATTTCGAAATTGGATCAAAGATGGTCGATTGGCAGGCATCTTGTTTTTGTTTTTTTATGCGGTGTCTTGGACGTGCTCTGTCAGTTTTCATTCAAATTTGGCACATACATGTACTTTATACATGTTAGGATGCATGTCCATGACAATTTGTTTCAAAATCTGGTCAAGGATGGCCGATTGACAGCCATCTGACTTTTTGGCCTTACTACTATATTTCCACAATTTATGTACCATTTTCATTCATATTTGGCACATACATCATACATATCAGTGTGTTTCATAATCAGATCAAAGATGGCTGAATAACGGCTGTTTTTATTTTGGCCATATTACTATGACACGAAACACGTGTTTTGATGTAAATAAACAATCTGTTGTATACCCCACTTGGAACTCAAGTTTCAAGGACACGCTCGCAACAACCTCTCCGCTTTAATATGACGAGCACAAAGAGAACTTAACGAGGACTGTGTCATTTTCAATGACTTGTTTGAAATGTGTCCAGTCTCTTGTTGTCAATTTCATTAATTTTCCATGTCTCGCTTCCATAAAGTAGGACAGAAATTTTCAATGCTACAAAATTTCTGATTTTCACTGATGCCAAAATTTGGTTTGTTACATGAAAATTGAAGTGGTTTACAGAAGTCACACTAGTGTTTCACCTGGCAGAAAAACTGTTTTTTTTTTGTTTTGTTTTTTAATTTAAGTTACCTATTATTGTGAAAATGCTAATCACATGTTCTTCTTATCTCTCTACATTGAAAACTAAAATATTCATTTTCATTTATTTTCCTGGTTTTTTTTCCATGGGGATAGGGGATGCAAGTCACATGACTGCACCTCGTGAAGATGGTGATGGTGCAATCCGTTGTATGACTGCTGCAATAAAAGACGCTAGAATATCGTCAAACGATGTGACGTATGTTAATGCGCATGCAACGTCTACCCCTATAGGTGAGCTAGTGTAGTATTTTATGTCCATATGGGCATTACTGAAAATGTATTAAGAATGGTCGTCGTTGCGCAGCGTGTGTTCGAATTTTATATAAACAATGTATTTTACACACGTTGTGTACATTGCTATGAGTCCCATATCAAACAGGAGGCATCACGACAACCACCGCCTTTTAATTATTTGCTGGTTTTTAATTTTCACTTTTTTTGCTGATAAGTACATTTTCCTAACGCAAATGTGAACATGTAGCATAACGATAGAACTTGTTATTTCCCTGTCATGTTTGTAAATTTCAAATGCAGTGAAATTGCTCAAAACATCAAAATAGTGAAAATGAATGGTTTTAGAGTAGCTTTTGCAAATGTTTTCCAGAAGAGCAGTGAGTTCCCCTAAAAGGTAAATAGTTCTCCAGGGTGATCCATAACCCTTCTCTACCAGATCTGATTTATACTTTTGTCTAAAAACATGTATAGCACTGTAACTTTATAAATGTGTCGTAAGTTACAACCATGTGACATTGCTATCTGGTCACTTCTACTTATATTTCAGGAGATGCGACTGAAAACCGTGCAATAAAAGCTGTATTTGGTAACCATAGTAACAACATTGCAGTATCATCCACCAAAGGTGCAACTGGTCATCTACTGGGGGCTGCTGGTGCCCTGGAATCTGTATTTACTATCATGGCTTGTCATACGGTAAATTATTCATACTGTTATTCTGAAATTATTTTATATGTTTTATGCTCATCATATATGCATGTCCACTTCACATGATTAATTTAATCATAGATTTTCCGTTCATTTCAAGATCTTGAGTAATAAAAAATGTGCATGGCACACATCTGAGACTAAAATTAGAATGATTAGATTTTGAACCTATGTTAAATTTCTTTCAATAGTTCTGATCTTTCAGAAAGGAACATAGCATGAATATCTGCGTAGCAATATTATTGAACATGGAAATATCGCAAAATTTCTTTTGCGTTTGTCAAATCTTGCGCGATGTCTTGACGCCAATACAACATAACATAATGACCATGGTTTGTCCTATATTTACATTCATACAAGCATAACATGGGATAACAGGTCAAGTCTAGATCTGTTAATAACCAAACGGAATGTTGTGCCTACTGACACAATTCAAATTTCCAAATATTGATGATTGCATTTTTTTAACACTTTTAAATTACTGCAATGTTAAAATATGATCTGTTAGCACTGATTTCTCCAAAAAAGCAGCCACATTTTTTTTTTTAATTGGAGTATCCTAGTTTTTGATAGGTAAACTGAGTGTGGAGGAAATATTTAAAACCTTTCACAGTGTCAACAGGTCATAGCATAGCTTACCCGATCACACCCCATGGTAGTTATGGAAATGATTATTATTCAGAAAGGTAAAACAATGTCCAGTGACCAGGTTTCATGGTCTGAAATTGGCTTATGTCCAGGAAAGTATGGTATATGTAGTTTTATCCTGGATTTATTACAAAGGTTTGACATTTCCAAATATTCCAACAAAACAATGAGTTCTATTATACTTTTTCATTATATTTTCAATCTATAAGCCCAAATTTGTTTGTTTTTTCCAGGGTATAATTCCACCAACTGTCAATCTAACAGAAGTGACTGAAGAGTTTGACTTGAACTACGTACCATGTCAGTCCCAGAAATGGACACCGCCCTCTGGTGACAAAAGAATTGGAATCACAAATAGCTTTGGATTTGGAGGAACCAATGCATCTCTATGTATTGGGAGTGTTTGATATCTTCTGACAGCATAATATGTGATGGCTTATCCAACATCGCATACATAAAAGTGGAATTTATATTTATAAATATTATATATATCATTGATTTATAAAATGAGGGTATGAAAGTGATGTAGTATGTGTTAAAGATCTCCTGCAAATTTGAAATGTCGAAAAAATTCTGATATGATCACAAAATCATAACACAAACATACATTTTTCAAAATACTAATGGGAATGAATGACATGAGTGTTCGCCTCGGCCTGTTTTTCTAGTGTACTGTAAAATCTGTATTAGAAACTGCGGCTTCTACTAAAATGGTACGCAATAGACGGGATGCGGCTTCTATTAGAGCACCTACACATATGAGAAATGATGAATTTTTGGTTCTCAATTATTCTAAAAGAATGGGGCGACTTATATTAGGGATGCGACTAATAATACAGATTTTATGGTACTTGCTTATTTGCAAAGTGTCAATTACGTGCTTTTATTAGTCTACTGGGTTCCTATGTTCATGCGGGCCGTGTCACTTTCAGATGCTCACAAAGGTTGAGAATTCAATTCTTGTGAGATCTTTATCATTATCACCATTAATGGTTATGAAAGTTGCATGCCCTTTTCTTATAAATCCATGATTGTATAAATATAGACATAGTATAACATAACTGTTTCAGGCAATAAACTATCAGTACTTTATTGTTGTGAATGGGTTTCCGCTGATGTCAACTAGTGCCACTTTCCACAAGTCTATTCAAATCAAAAATAATTATCAAACTTATCAACAGATGAGGAATGTTGAACATCAGTGACCAGTTGAAATAAAGCATCTATGACGTTCATAAATGGACAAAAACAATCGTACTTGTCTCTGGGAGAGGAAAAACAAATTCTTTGTTCTGCTCACCTATCCATTGAAAAGCGAGTACTGGTACTCCTGATTTTTTGTGGTGGTTGGGGGTGTTATTATTGTCATTATTGTAAATTTTCAAAATATTATAAACTATAAATAATACAGTTTTAGTTGAAGCAGAATACACAATTTCTTTTAAGTAACACCCTCTAGGTATATATATATATATATATATATGGGTGAAAACCTTGTTTAAATCAACAACTGCATTTGTTTTGTTTGGGTAGATATTAGTCATCTAGAATATGGAAAATAATTTCTTGAAAACAATCATCATAATCAATGCTTTGAATGACCTTTGTGTCAATCATTTATTACATATAAATGTTTCAGCACTATAGAGGACGTAATTTAAATCTTAAATTTCCTAAACTGGTTATACTATTATACTATGTATTATTTTACGAAACACAAAACATTATTGTACTTTGTGAGATTCCATAAAAATGTTAATAAAACTATTTTGTTTTAATTATGCCTGTCATTGTATTGACAAATTTGTTAAACTATTTGTTTTCAGACATTAATTTGTCAACAAACAAGCTTTTTAGTCCCCGTTCGGACGCAGTCCGAAAACGGGGACTTATGTTTTGCCCTGTGTGCGTCCGTCCGTGCGTCCGTGATCACCTGTATCTCGAACATGCATGGACCGATTAAGTTCAAACTTCACTCATACATCACACATTATATGGGACATATGCACATGCATTTTTTTCATGATCTGATTAACGATAGCCGAATAGCGGCCATTTTAAGGCTGAAAATGCATCAAAATCGCACATTTTCATCATTCCGGACCCGGATCTCAGTTATACATGGACGGATTTTGTTCAAATTTGGTACATACATTAAACATAATAGGACCTTGATGCACGTCATTTTTTTTTTTTGGATCGGGTTCGAAATGGCCGACTGGCGG